ATGGAAGCAATTCCGGCTGCCCCCGCTGCCAAGGCTTTGGCAGCCTCATCAGGGGTCTGCAAGGAGAAGGGATAGAGATGCATGTTTTAGTCATCGCCGCCCTTCCTCCTCCCACTTACCCTGGGAAGCATCCCAGGGGTTAGAAGCGCTCATTTTGAAGGTGGGCTCGAGAGCAACACGCCAATGAATTTCCAGGAACCACCTTGTTCTTTCCTTGGCTGTCTACATCCCTAGCATTTGGCCTGGTTGCAGGTCACCTCGGACTGATGGGTGCTAGACACAGTATCTTGGGACTGTACCCTGCAATTTTTGTCCGCCCCTCTCTCCCACCCCCCAATCTTTCCCAACCCTTTTCAGGGACCATTCCCACGAGCAACTCCTCGTTTAAGGGGTTGAGAACCTCCCGCACCTGGGGGCGATGGAGGAGGTCCCTTGGGACATGAAAGGAAAAGGGTTCTATTCTTTCTACTTCCTAATCCCAAAGGTAAAAGGGAGCCTCAAACCCATGCTGGACCTGCATCGCCTCAACAAATCTCTCAAAAAGTTGAAGATTCTCATGGTCTCTCTGGCCTCCATCATCCCCTCCTTGGATCCGGGAGACTGGTATGCTGCCCTCAACTTACAAGATGCTTATTTCTATATTTCCATATTCTCAGGCCACAGGCGCTTCCTCCGTTTCATAATGGGCGGGTGCCATTTTCCATTCACAATGCTACCCTTTGGCATCTCATCATCCCCAAGGGTGTTCACAAAATGTATGGTGCCAATGGCTGCTTCCTGAGACATTGAGGGGTCCAGGTCTTCCCATATCTTCATAACTGGCTCATCAAAGGCAGGTCTCAGGAGCAAGTGCAGAGGAGTCTCAATGTGGTGCTTTGCACCTGCTGCAACCTGGGCTTGTTAATAAATGAGAAAAAATCCACCTTAATGGCCATCCAGCGAATAAAGTTCCTCGGGGCAGTTCTTGACTCCACATGAGCCAGAGCCTTCCTTCTGGAAGCGCGTTTTCAGGCCGTGTCGGACCTGATCTCCCTTGTAAAGAACAATCCGTTCACCATGCCTCACACCTGCCTGATGCTGTTGGGCCACATGGCCACATGTACGTATGTGGTCAGCCATGCTCTGCTCCATCTCTGGTGCCTGCAAGCGTGGCTGGCATCAATCTACATCCCCAACAGGCCATGACCTAGATCGAGTAGTCAGGGTCTGGACCACATCAGGTCATTCCTGAATTGGTCGGTGCTGGAGGGAGTCCTCTTCGCAACCCTGTCCCTGACCCTGGTCTCCGATGCTTCAGACCTGGGCTGGGGAGCCCACCTGGGTGAGCTGAGCACCCAGGGCCACTGATTGCAGGACGATCTGGCTCTCCATGTCAGTGTCAGGTTGCTCAGAGCAGTTCACTTGGCCTGCCAGGCTTTCTTGCGCCATCTGAAGGGCAGGGTGGTGCAGGTCCTGATGGACAACACTGCCACTGAATTACATCAACAGACAGGGCGGTGCCAGGTCTTCGGCCCTTTGTTAAGAAGCTCTCTGCCTTTGGGATTTTTGTGTGCGGCATGCCATTCATCTGATAGCTGCACACCTGCCTGGAACCAGGAATGTGCTGGCAGATCACCTCAGCAGGACTTTCTCATCTCGTCATGAGTGGTTGCTCCATTTGGAGGTGGTCAGCATAATCTTCCAGAGATGGGGGATTGTCCAGGTGGACCTGCTTGCGTCCAGACAGAACAGAAAATGCAACGTGTTTTCTTAGATCTGGGAAATGGACAGAGGCTCCTAGTCAGACATCGGGGGCACTGATGTACTCCTTCCCGCCAGTGCTATTGATTCACAGGGTCCTGGTGAAGTTCAAGCAAGATAGGGCAAGAGTTATTCTTATAGCCCCCACGTGGCCGAACCAGCACTGGTTCGGCACATTGAGCCTTTCGGTAGCCGCCCTGCTCCAGCTGCCCCTCTGGCTGGATCTGCTATCACAGAACAACACCAGTCTTTTACATCCGAACCTGGCGGCGCTGCAGTTGACAGCTTGGCTACTGCATGGCTAAGCACAGACAAACGGGCCTGCTCGGCCTGTGTCCAGCAGGTCTTGCTGGGTAGCAGGAAACCCTCCACCAGAGCAACTTACTTGGCCAGATGGAAAAGATTCATGTTTTGGGCCTTGGAATGGCATATTCAGGCCAAGCAGGAGATCCTGGATTATCTGCTGCACCTAAAACGCCAAGGTTTGTCCCTGTCATGGATCAAGGTCCACCTGGCTGCTATCTCGGCTTTCCATCCTCCATTCCAAGGCAGGTCCATCTTTGCTCACAACGTGATGGCATGTTTTTTTTGAAAGGTCTGGAGCATTTCTACACGCACGTCTGGGATTCCATCCCCCCCCCCCCCCGGTACCTGAATGTCATGCTGTTGAGGCTCATGAGGTCTCTCCCTTTGAGCCTCTGGCTTCCTGCTCTCTTCTGCTTCTCTCCTGGAAGGTCTTGTTCCTGGTCGCAATAACATCAGCCCACAAGGTGTCCGAAATCAGAGTGCTTACTTCGGAGCCTCCCTATATGGTCTCCTACAAGGATAAGATCCAGCTGTGACTGCACCCAGCATTTCTGTCCAAGGTCATTTCCCAGTTTTGTACTGGCCAGGACATATACTTACCAGTCTTCTTTCCAAAGCCTCATGTATCAGATGAGGAGCGCAGGCTACACACCCTGGACATCAGGAGGGTGCTGGTCTTCGACATAGATAGAACAAAGCCGTTCCCTAAGTCAACGCAGTTGTTTGTTGCGGTGGCAGACAGAATGAAAGGTCACGCAGTGTCTGCTCAGAGGATTTCATCCTGGATCACGGTCTGCATTCGCTACTACTGTGAGCTGGCGAAAATGCCTCTGCCAGCGATTGTGATTGCACACTCGAGTAGGGCACAAGCATTGTCAGCGGCTTTCCTGGCACGGGTACCAATCCAAGAGATCTGCAGGGCTGCTACTTGGTCATCTGTCCACATGCTCATGTCTCATTATGCGCTTCCCAGCAAGCTCGAGACGATGCTGGCTTTGGCAGAGCAGTGCTGCAAGCTGCAAGACCATGAACTCTGAGTCCACTTGCATTGACACTGCTTGTGAGTCACCTAGAATGGAATCAACATGAGCAAGCACTCGCAGAAGGAAAAAACGGTTACCTACCTGTTTTGTAACTGTTGTTCTTTGAGATGTGCTGCTCATGTCCATTCCATTACCTGCCCTCCTGCCCCTCTGTTGGGGTTGTCGGCAAGAAGGCACTGAGAGGCCGTAGGGCCGGCGGCGCCTGATATACTGACGCATGAGCGCAGCGCTCAAGGGGGTGCCACAGCTGGCCCTATGGATACCGTTAAGGCAAAAATCTCCAACGATCGTGCACGTGGGCGCGCGCACACCTCGAATGGAATGGACATGAGCAACAACATCTCGAAGAACAACAGTTGTGAAAAAGGTGGGTAACCATTTTTTTTCTCATTCTACCCTGCCAATGTGGTTAAGTTCTGAGATGGATTTGGATCTACTACATTAGGAGCAAGAGAGTTAGTTCAGTCTCCATCCCCACTCATCCGTGTGCCTCTCTAATGAGGCTTGTAACAATGGTGCCAACTTAGATTATATGTCTTGTGATTACAATACTTGTTGACTAAGAACTGGGCTGAACCATATGAAAGCTTGTCTATTTTATGGAACTTTAAATTTTAAAAACAATATTTCCTTTTTAGTTTCCTCTCTATACACGTTGTCTGGTATCTATCTTCATTAATGATCTGGAGGATGGTGTGGATTGCACCCTCAGCAAGTTTGCGGATGACACTAAACTGTGAGGAATGGTAGATACGCTGGAGGGGAGGGATAGGATACAGAGGGACCTAGACAAATTGGAGGATTGGGCCAAAAGAAATCTGATGAGGTTCAACAAGGACAAGTGCAGAGTCCTGCACTTAAGACGGAAGAATCCAATGCACCGCTACAGACCAGGGATCGAATGGCTAGGCAGCAGTTCTGCAGAGAAGGACCTAGGGGTGACAGTGGACGAGAAGCTGGATATGAGTCAACAGTGTGCCCTTGTTGCCAAGAAGGCCAGTGGCATTTTGGGCTGTATAAGTAGGGGCATTGCCAGCAGATCAAGGGACGTGATCGTCCCCCTCTATTCGACATTGGTGAGGCCTCATCTGGAGTACTGTGTCCAGTTTTGGGCCCCACACTACAAGAAGGATGTGGAGAAATTGGAGAGAGTCCAGCAAAGAGCAACAAAAATGATTAGGGGTCTGGAACACATGACTTATGAGGAGAGGCTGAGGGAACTGGGATTGTTTAGTCTACAGAAGAGAAGAATGAGGGGGGATTTGATAGCTGCTTTCAACTACCTGAAAGGTGGATCCAAAGAGGATGGATCTAGACTGTTCTCAGTGATAGCAAATGACAGGACAAGGAGTAATGGTCTCAAGTTGCAGTGGGGGAGATTTAGGTTGGATATTAGGAAAAACTTTTTCACTAGGAGGGTGGTGAAGCACTGGAATGCGTTACCTAGGGAGGTGGTGGAATCCCCTTCCTTGGAAGATTTTGAGGTCAGGCTTGACAAAGCCCTGGCTGGGATGATTTAGTTGGGATTGGTCCTGCTCTGGGCAGGGGGTTGGACTAGATGGCCTCCAGAGGTCCCTTCCAACTCTGTTATTCTATGATTCTATGATTTATAACAAATACCTAGATAGTTATATTTGTACTTGTCACCTGAACCAAAGATGTCCTGACATGAGGATTAGTTTGATCTAGTGAAAGGCTGTTTTCATATTTTGGAATTATGAATAGATAGCATGAGGCATAACAAGAAAATGATGTATCTTCTAGCTTGCTCACCTTTTTGTACTCTATCCTTGATTGACAATGATTGAACACAACAATTTTAAAGATGTAACTACTCCTCAGTTGCATAGAGTATGTACATTATTTGTTGGTTGCCAACCACAATTTGAAACTCTAATCTTTTTTACTTAGAGGAAGATGTGGAATTACAAGAAGCTATCAAAAGAAGCCTGGAGGAAATGTAAATGAAGATACTCCTGTATGCAAATAGCATGCTATCAAAGCTGCTTTCAGAAGCGGAAGCTTGTTCATCCTTTAACAAAGGGTCAGAAAATACTGCTTTAAAAATGTGCTTATTCCTTTAATGGTTAAACTTGTAATTAATATGTTGCTGATCGTGTCATGCAACTAAATTGACAAATGGAGCTTATGGATGTATGTGTTGCAACATTCTGTATATGACAAAGGAAAATAAATTGTTAAAAGCATTACACATTCCTTTTCTAATGATTCATGACTAACTTTAAGCTCAATTCTTGTTCTGATCTAGTCATGTAACTTGAGGTAGGTTGATCCTATACATGTTGTGGTATCTTTAAAGGGTTGTTCATTTAATTCTTCCATTGTAAAAATGTCATTGTCTCATTTTACTTTTTCAGTGTACCCTTTACAACAGATAAAAATAGTAAACCTCAGTTAATCTCAGACCACCTTGCCTTACTGATAATTTTATAAAGAGAAGCTTAGTCTCCAGGCCTGCAATTTACGATTCATGGGCTCACCCCTATGCCTGCACAAAGCTTTACTCCACATGAGCACAGAGGTATGCCCACAAGTTGTAAATTGCAGGGTCGGTGTCCTAGAATGTACAGTTGTTTACTGCTATCTTTACTTTTATTTTTTAGGAGTGTGCATATTTTAATTTGAGTATGAGAGCTTGTTATTCCTGTTGGTTTAAAAATCTCGTCAGCTGAATACCCTGTCTTGTTTAAGGCTGAAGCAAAGTTTGTAAATAAAAACACTGAAGCAAAAATTGTTTGTTTTCAAAATCCCTCTTGGTTTGAGGTACAAGTGAAATAATTTAAGCAGGCAAGTCCTTCCTGTATTCCATCCTCTTTATAATATGCATTTGTTGGTTTTTAAAGAGGTGGTGTTTCAATATTTGACAATAATTAAAAACATTACTGTTTTTGTATGCTGTCCTTAATTTTTTAAGAGAAATGCCTCTACCTTTCCCTTCTCAAGCTTTTCGATCCCCTTTCCTCCACAAAAAAATACCAATTTATTTGAGCATGAGCTTTCGTGAGCTACAGCTCACTTCATCAGAAGCATACCGTGCTGTAGCTCACGAAAGCTCATGCTCAAATAAATTGGTTAGTCTCTAAGGTGCCACAAGTACTCCTTTTCTTTTTGCGAATACAGACTAACACGGCTGTTCCTCTGAAAAAAATACCTGTGCATGCCAGCTGGCTTTACCCAGTTTATCTCGCTTCTGTTGATTGTAGATGTAGATGAAGGAAAGTTTAGTGAAATAAAATACCATCTCCGCATTTTATTTTTGCATAAGCACTTGACAGCTTGTCTGTAACTGGTGTAACTCTAAAGTACATCATATACAGAAATACCTGTTCTCTAAAAATGAGCCAGATGTATTAAAAAGGAACACAACATTTTACTGAATGTAAACCCTTACAAAAAGTAAAAATAACACACTGCTGTAATTCCTTAAACTTCAAAAATGTGCTATGAAATAGCAACATGGACTTCAGTGTTTGCTATCTGATATCTCTGTTGCAAATAAAGCTGACCTGAAGCCATTCATCTAGAGTATCTAGAGAGGAATCTCACAGCTCTTTAACAATCATACAAGTAGCTGAAAGATGCAACTCATTTGAATCCTGGTAAACATTTTGGAAAGGGTTTTCACTGCTGTTGGTGGGGGGAAAATTTCTGAATGTGACAGTAATGTAAGTAGAACGTTGCTACTCTATTAGACCTGTTGCTAGGAAAGCAGAGGTAAATTTATTTTACTCTAGTCTCATTTAAATCTGCACCTGCAGCTCCCATCTGAGGGAAGTGCCACTTGAGTCTTGAAGCTGGTTCAGGACACTCCTCTTCAACCTCCTGAACATGAGACTCAGTCACCAGAAGAACAAATGGTCTTACTAAACAAGCTTTCGTAATAAAATACATTCAAAGGCGGTCTTTCATCCCAAAGAGGTTTTCAAACTAAAAGATAATGGGTTGTAAAATTATTTTAGGCTGAAAGTCCCATTCTAACCATAGTGTATTCCTGAGTATCCAAATAACATGGGGGACATAGATTTTATTTGGATAATCGGGAGTTCAGAGTACCAACGGGGCAGGAGACATTCAGCAGCGGGGGGCCTCTCCCCTGGCCAGGGATTCGTCATCCTTCTTGCATTCCTGGCTGGGGTGTCTGCTCTGCCCCATTCACTCAGTCCCATGACAGCACTGCTGCAGGGCCGGTGATACCTCATCCATGTGGGCCAAAAGAGAGACCCCTGAACAGGACTCTGTTGTGCGCCACCAGGATTATAGCCTTCTCTGTACATTGCATCTGTGGGGATTGGCAGCACAGGGAGCCCTCCGCAGCTCTGCTGTAATGGCCTCCTCTCACACTTCTGTGACAGCAGGACTGCAGAGGCTTCCTGTACAGCTGTAGGAGTCATTCAGCAGCAGGGTGGCCTACAGCCAGGGGCTTGTCCTCTTCCTCCTCCAATTCCTGGCCAGGGGTCTCTGCCCTGTTGTCCAAAGTTTCATGTTATCTGTATCCCTTCCTTTTCCCCCAGCATGAGATACACTTGGGACAAGGAAGGGATTCGGATATTTGGTACATTTGGGTTTCAGATACATGGGAATATACTGTATAGAGGAGTATTATGAAAGCTTACTTCACCTGATGCACTTTGTTCTTCTGGGCCCTAGCGATGGGTAAGCCTAAGTACATAAGCTGTTTATTCCCCTCTAGAGTCGGGTACCTTGGTTTCTGAGCAGCTGCCAACTTGCATTCTTTATCCCTCACACCAGCAAATGCTGCAGTAAATATAAAGACTGACTATACCTGTTTGCCTATGAGTAGGTAAGTGCTATTATCCCCATTTTACAGATGGGACCTAAGACACAGAAAGGTTAAGTGACTTGCCCAGGGTCACACAGAATATCTGTAGTATAGTTGGCAGTTGAACCCTCTTGTGTCATCTCCTAGGCTAGTTTCCTAACAACGGGACAGTCTTTCCTCTCATTAGCTACATGTGGTTCTATTCTCTACCTAGTCAATTAGGCTCTAATAATTAGGGCAGCCATGTATGTTATAAAGAATGTCAAGAAGTATGGTTATCCTGATTTCTGCCCATGGTTTCCAAGATCCCTAACCAGTTCTCGACTGCCTGCCTCACTCCAAAGCTTTCTCAGTTACTGCATCCTTCAGCATAATCTTCCAGCTCTTCCATTCTCACGAGTATGTTGTCTCAAAACAACAAAATGTGTGTGTCCAGATTATTCACTTTCATATCAAGGGACTCTGCTTTATTCTTCAATCAGAACAAGGTGTTCTGTAATCTACCTGATTCAGAATTTATTGCTTCTAGTAAATTGTTTGATAAATCTTAGGTAGCTGACTCAGACTCAATGCGGACACCCAGCATTGAAGGGTCTGGATCTGCAATTGTGGTGGCAATTCATGTGGTGAAAGAATTTTGACTGCCCCTTTCCCTTTGTAACATAAAGCAGTACAAGTGACTTGTTCATTAGACATTTACTTACAAGATTGTTAGAATTCATTTCTCACCCCCTCAGAATACTTGTAATAAGTCCTTTTGTTTGCTTTTTCACATAGCTATTTAAAAGGAAAAACTGCCCCACTCTGCCTTGCCAATTCCTACCTTTCATTTTAATGTTGTAACATTCAAATAGGTGTTCTCTGCCTTCCAATTGAATGTTGTTACAGCCATTTGAATAGATATGGTATATAATGTCCAAAAGAATTTAGTGACTCCAGATGTTTTGCAAACCTACATTTGCTCTGGTGAGTATTAACTTAGTTCTATGACTTTAAAATCCCTGCCACTGGTTCTTTACCTTTTGATGCTCAATTTTTGTTTGCGGCACACTTTTCTTTGGTCATACGCATTTCTCTGTCTGCCAGGAGCAAAGAGAAAATAAGAAATAAGTTATAATAATTGTTATGAAACTTGTTATGGCCAGTAAAGCTTGATCTCTTTCTGGCTGCTTTTGTAAAGATTAAACTAAGATCACTGCCTCTTCTCTGTGGATTTTTTTTAACTGTGAGTTATTTGTCTCATATGTAATAGCTCTGTAGACTAGGTAACAAACAGGGTTATTTGTATCAACTTCTTAATGCTCAGAAATAAGTACTATAGCTACTTATAGGGGTCAGATCCTTTTGGAGTCTGAGGAAATCCCTATAGATGGCTCTATGTGGTAAATACTGTGCGACATGTAGGCCCTTCTGATCTTTACCAAATATGGTTAAGTTTACAGAACTAATGAGGTCACAACATACTTTCTTTCATAAAAGGAAAGTCTTCCATCATCCTTGCATGCTATCTGAGAGATATTTACAATAACTGCTATCTCTGTTTTACAATTCATTTAACATAGAAACAAAACAGATGGAGCTGAACCTGACACAAAGGCTCTTTTTCACTAACAGCTTCTCTACATGAATAGCTACTATGTATTTACCGCAAATCTACCCCCCAGAAGCGGGCTGTGCAGTAACTATTGGTGTGGACCTTGCTGATGTGCACTAACAGTTCCTTAGCATGCTTTGATCTGCCCTGTTTCAAACTGGGCTCAGTTAAAGCACACTAAGGAACATCTAAGGTGCGTCAGCAGGCTGTACATGGACATGCAGTGTGTGGCATGCTAGGGCGAGGTAGATTGAAATCCCAGCATGCCACGAACTAACTTCATATAGACAAGCTCTAAGTTAATCAAGAGAGTCTGTTCTTAATCTATCTTATCTACTTTTCCTTGGCATCTTTGAACTGATTCTAGTTTTCTTAAATATTTCTTGCAGAAATTAAAATTCAGTTATAACATCCTGGTAAGATCCAGTGGTGAAGGTGTGAGAAAATGTTGTGTTTTGTATTAGTTTGGCAATCTATGGACAATAAGAGAGCACTCAAAGAAGATAAGGTCATTGCCAGTGCAGAGAAACTAAATGAATTCTTTGCATCAGTCTTCATTGCAGAGGCTGTGAGGGAGATTCCCACGCTTGGTCCCTTCTGTTTAGGTGACAAATGTGAGGAATTGTCCCGTATTGAGGTGTCAATAGAGGAGGTTTTGGAACAAATTGGTAAACAGTAATAAGTCACCAGGACCAGATGGTATTCATCCAACAGTTCTGAAGGAAATCAAATATGAAAATGCAGAACTACTAACAGCACCATGTAACCTATCATTTAAATCTGCTTCTGTACCTGATGACTGGAGGCTATCTAAT